ATATATAAGTGTGTTTGTGTTAGTGTGTGTATGCGTATGTGTGTGGGTGTGCGTATGTGTGTGTGTGTGTCTACACTTCTTCTACACTACAATGTAAACGCGACTACTATTAACCAAACTCCAACCGAAAGTAGTGCATCTAGACATCCCTTAACAACACCATGCCAGCAGAACCACTACTGGATACAAACTGTTGTCTGATACAAGCGCACACCTCAGGCGGAATACTTACACATTATTGTCCGTGATATCCACGGACTCCTTATTTGCGAACGCAAATTTGGACTTCTTCGCACCAGTTCCATTGCGCGGCGGTTCATAGTACATACCCGCGGACAGCGAGCTATTATTAGACCCACTCGAGGGCTCCATTCGCCCACCAATGGTGAACCCTACATTGTAACTGTAGTCGCGAGTTTGCGACGGCGTGTTGTCGTGGGACTGTGAGTGCGCGTGATGTAAGTACCCGGGCATATTGTAGCTGTGTGGGCTGAAATGCGAGTTTGAGTTCGAGTTTGAGTACCCCGAGTTCAAACTGCGGGACAGGTTCTGTTGGTGCGTGTTCATGCTCTGTATAGAGATGGGCATGGAGTTGGGCATACTATTGCTGTTCGGGGGTGAGGGAGAGTAGTAACTCGACTGATTATGCCCCGAATTGGGTGCGTACTGGGGCTGTATTTGATACGCTTGTGACTGCTGCTGCTGCTGTTGTGCCTGGCTGCTGTGCGGAGGGTAGAATGTACCCAGTCCCTGGGCCTGGCTGTGGCTCGGTGCATGTATGGGTATCCCCTGTGCCTGTCGGGTCGACACATTCACATGTCCAAGCGAACTCAGTTGCGGTATAGGCGGCAGGTCAAACCCCGGAGGGGGCGCGATATGGTGTGGCAGAGCCTGAGTGTCCCGATACACGCCTTCCTGCTGCATCTGAGGGTCGTCGTATGCTCGTACTTGCTGATGAGACGTGTACCCGTATCTCGGTGCATGCGCGGAGATAGGGCCACCCCGCGGTTGTTGTGGGCTTGCGAACTGGTTCTGGTGGAGTCCCGGCGGGTGGGTGGGTTGATACCGGTCGTATAGAGATCCGTGCGGGTGGGTGCCATAGCCTGAACCATTCATTCTGGAAGTGTTCGGTATAACTGACTGGCTCCAGATGGACTTTGCCTGTGAACTGACCGTGCTGGCGGACGCGGGATCGATTCTGAGCGTATCTTCGAGATACGCTGCTAGCTGTTCCATGGTTTCCGCTACGTCGCCCGACGGTGGCCTAAAAGTACAGCAAATGTATGAGTATCTACCGTAAGATGCATTGTGTGTGTGTGTGTGTGCATGTGTGTGTGTGTATGTGTACGTGTGTGTGTGTGTAGGTGTGTGTGCGTGTGTGTGTAGGGGTGTGTGCGTGTGTGTGTGTGTGTGTATACCATTGT